CCATGCAGGAGCAGCAGAGGAGGGACAAGCCAGTGTAGGGGTTGCTGAGCTCCCCCTACTCACCAGAAACCAGTAGATGTTCATCAGAGTGAGGACAAGGAGCAGAGCATTGAAGAAGAAGTAGAAGGGGATATTAGGGACCGACTGGAGGCTGGAGTAGCAAGTGGCGTAGAGCACCTTGAGGGGGAACCAGTAGAGACGGAACCAGAACCTGCCCTGCCAGGGCAGAGGGAGCAGGGTGGGTTTAACGGCCCACGGGGATCCCGGGAGAAGCGTGAGACCCAACATTGCTGCCCCCAGCACAACCTCCCGCCTCCGGGCAGCCCTCGCCAGCTGCCCTTGTGCCACCCGGCAGTCCCTGCTCTTGGCATCTGCCTTGGGTCTGCAGGTCTGGCTCCAGACAGGGCTTCGCACAGACCCTGGGAAAGGGCAGCTACAGAAGGGAGAACACGATTCCTGCGGGCAGGAAAGGCTTGGCACCCGAGGCAGGGCAGAGAAAGGGCGTTCCCAGGGCAGAGAGGCAGGTCTGCACTGCAGATTATTTCGGCTGGATGGGGGACAGGAGCTGGAAGGTTTTCTTAGTCCTGTGCATCCCTAGTTTATCTTTAAAAACCTTCACTGCTCTCCTTCCCTCACATCCAGGGCTCTTGTTGCCACTCCTGCTTTTCAGAGCAAGGAAGAAGACAAAGGGACAGATGAAGAGCGACAACCTGCGAGTTTCCCATCTCTATTTCTCATCTTTTTTTTTTTTTTTTCCCCTCCTGCCTTGCCCCAAGAGGAACAGCAAGGCTGGAATCTGGGACAGCCCCACGTCCCGTTTCCTTCTTGCCAAAGTGTTTCTTACTGCTGAAACCAAGCGAGTGGGAAAATGGAAACAGCTCCTCCTCCCCTGGGGTCATTTGTCATGCTGCGAGCGAGATTTCACAGCCGCTTCGGTGGTGACAGACGGCACAGTGACTACAGAAGGATTCCAAGCCCAGCATGGGGTCAGGCTCTGCGGGAACCTCTTCCCAAACAGTTTTTGAAAGGGCTCGTTCCCATGCAAACCATGAAAACCCAGCCCGGCTGTACCCCGGGGCACCGGGGAGGGGATTGCAAAAGCTGGCAAGGAGGGTTGGAAGTGGGATCAGGCAGAAAAACCCACCAGCTGATGCTGAAGGTGAGGCAGCCAATGTTGGAGATGATGTCGTTGAGGCGATGATAGACACCCCCCCGGTGCTTGAAGTAGACGTTGAGCTTGGTGAATTCCAGCTGCACGTCGTTGACGTCGTGCAGGAAGAGCACGAGGATGCCCACGTTGTGGTACCTGTAGGAAAAAGGGGAGCACGGAGGGAGACGTGTGGGGCAGCGGGTCGGTGTCAGCACACGCGGTCCATCACACCGGGAGCGGACAGACCCCCTGGATAATCCAGACAAGCAAGCCTGGGAGCTGCAGGGCAGGTCTGGCACTGTGCAACGGCTCCCGAGCACTGGGATTGCTGCGGTAGGATGGAGACAGGTGTAGGGAGGCAGAGCAGAAGCCACACCAACCCAGCAAGAGCCCTCCTGATACATGCCCACGGGATGCACGAGAGCCCAGAAAGGCAGCAGCTTTTGCTGTGCAGCTGCCCGAGGCTGCCCCGGGCACATCGCAGAGGGGCAGCGTCACAGAGGCCTCACCTGAAAGCGTAGGAGAAGGCTATGAGGGTCAGCGTGACCACGTGGTGGAGAAGCATGACAACAGAGTCCTTGCGCCACGTGTCCATGTAGGCAGTGGCATAGATGGAGTGGCCGTAGAAGCTGCACTGCATCAGGTAGGCGATGGCGATGTCTGTGGGCACATCCATGCCCTTCTTCCAGTCTGGGGTGGGACAAAGACACTTGGGTGAACCCAGAGCCACGAGCACAGAGCCTCCATCAGCAGCAGAGAGACAGGAGCATGAACAGCAGGCAGCAAGCAGCAGCCAGAGCTGCCCCGGGCAGCCCCAGCACTTTGCCGTGCTCAGGTCCTCCCATTCGGGACCTCACGGATGCAACGGAGGCAAAGGCTGGAAGGGAACCCAGGTATCCTGGCTCCCAAACCCTGCCTTGGCATTAGACTTACTCCCTCTCCTAGATCGAAGGGAGATACCTGGATTTACTTCTCTCCTGCTTGAACTACTCAGCCCGTCCCCCCTTCAGCTGACACATCCCCACCGCTGCCATCTGCGACAGCCACTAGATGACTCTCTCCGTAACGAAATGAGCGGAGGGAGCCTGCTGTGCCCTTTCTGTACCCACAGCTTCGCAGAAAAGGCAATTCAGGGATTTGGTCTTCTCTTTCGCTCACCCCAACTCCCATTCTCTTGTTCAACCCACATGTCCTATGAACCTGGATGTCCTAATCCACACCCACTTCTCCCTGGTTCTTACTGTACCGTAAAAGACGGATGGTGGGTCGTAGAAGAAGGGGTAGTCAGTGAAGAAGAGCAGGTAGATGCCATACGACCAGGATAACGTGTAGAAAAGCAGCTTCCAGGCACTCTCAGGCATCTTGGCAGCATCTTTTGGCTGCAAGTTGCACCACTCCCCGAAGGGCTGCAAGGAGAGAGGAGAAGTATCATCACGATGGGCCCTGGGGCGCCTGGCAGAGCACACCGAGCCTCCGAGAGCCGCGAGCGCTGGGTGCCACCAGCCAGGGCAAAAACCAGGGCCACAAACCCCACTCTTCTGGCCACCTTTGCAGCATGAATAAGGAGGTCAAAGAGGCTCTAGAGAGAGCCCAAAGCAGGGAAAAAACACGAGGCTGGAGATCCTTCTGCTCGGCCGCGGCGGGAAGCTGCGAAAGCAGAACCTCGCGGAGAAGGCAGAAGCCTACGGCACGCGTCCCGCAGTCCGGGCACCGCTCCACCGCCCTCGCTGCGGGAGCGGGGCCGACCACAGCTGGCTTTTGCAGAACAGTCAATAACTAATGAAATAAAAATCAAGCCCTGTCTGCGCAAGGAAACCCAGAAGAGGAAGCCGTAACAACG